AAGACTATTACCTCAAAGTTTCTTTCAGATGAAAAAGATCTCTGGTCGTGAGTCTCAAGGGACTTGACGTCAAGACGAATTAATTGGCGGTAAACCGCCAGTCGTAAAGTTATTTTGACTTTGTCTTTGACTTGAGAACAGTCATTCGCAGTACGAGAAGGAGAAAGGGGCGTGTCCTAGTGATTTGTGAAGCGGTTAGATTAGCTATAATTGATTGTGATTAAGAGAGATTTAAGAGGAAGGTGTTAATAAAACCAATCATCCAATCCAGTACCCGTTACTATTAATATTACCGGAGGGCATGATCAAAGCCGCGGTAAAACTAAGGCCTACTGCGTGTGTGTGTGTTTACCCAGTAAACTTGCGCATGTGCGTGTATGTATCTATATATTCCGATCTGTTCGATTTCGGTATACGGGGTTTTCGTTCGACGCCATGGCAGCGTAACCCCCCCCCCCCCCCCANTTTGCTTTAACACGGTCTCATAGAAATGTTTTAAGTATAGTGTTTTAGTGACATCAAAAGTTATAATGAAATTATTTGTCATAAACAAGAAAATTAGAATTCAGAAACTGCTAAAACAAATTGTATCAAATTTAATTGTTAAATATTGAAGTTAATAACATTTCGATGAGAATTTAAAAGAGTGAGACCATCTAGGAGTAACAAAAATTTCGAGTTATTTGTCTACTCTTGGCAACGCAATTATCTCATGGATCAGTATATAAACATAGGCGCGCACATACGGAGGTGTAGCGTGTTATAAACGGTAAGTGTGCTGTGATGTGGAAAGAGGCGACCATTACCTATTTCATCCAAATCTAGGGCTATGTCTGTACATTTAAGATTTCCTGATCAAAATGTTGTATACATCTATCATTTCCCTCATACATGCCACATGTCCCACCCTGCCCATCCTTCTCGATTTAATCAACGTAAGAGTTTTAAATGACGAACACAAGCTATGAAGTTTGTCATTATGTAAGCTTCTGGAACCTTCTGTTAGTTCCCCGTCTTATTCTCCTCAGCACTAAAAGTAGAAGTAAGTAAGTAAAAGTAAAGGTATCCCTGTAACAGGCCGTGGAGGCCCATAGGGTTGTGAGATGTTGAGGTTCCCACATTTTATAGACAATGGGCTCAAAGATGGCGGTAAGGTTGTCAGCCCTACACGCCGGCCGCCTTTTACCCCAAGAAATATTCCTGGTACTCATTTATGTTAGAGCCTGAGTCGACCAGGGCCATAGTGCGGCTGGAAGGATTAGGTTTAATTGAAAAAATCCAATGACCTTATCGGGACTTGAACCCGCGACCTTCCTGCTTGTAGCATAGTGCCTCAACCAACTACGCTACCGCGTGCCCCTCATTTTCCTCAGCACTATACTCCAAAACCCGTGTTTTTCCTTTACTTTAAAACAACCTGCATTATGAGTAGCAGCAAGTCAGATTTAATCTTTATGTTTTTAGATAGGACCCAAAAAAGATAAAAGATTAACAACTAGATCATTAGTAAGCATTTCCTAGATACCATTTTCTCCCAATATTACCAAAGTAAAGTGAGGCTGACTGTATTCCAGATGCATCCAAGCTGGAGGGGCGTGTTACTGTTGTCTGTTTGACTTACATTTCCTTGGATGTGTTTGCAGGAACACCTGAATCTCATAGGAACAGATGAAAACTTGGGACCTGTTTGTCTGTCAGTCAAGACAGAGAATGTGGCATCACAAGAACATACCAGAATATTGCTGCGGCTCAAGACGGGCACAATGCATGAGCTGGTGCCCTCTTCCTGCCTCTCCCCCTCACCATCACCTGCCAGGATGGCAAAGGTATTTATGTTTTTCATAAGCTTCTGGTAAGTGGTCAGTGAAGCCTCCTTTCTTCTTACCAGAACTCATAACTGATGACCATACATTGCGCTGTATATTGTCTGTTGTCTTAGGTATATTTTATAAATAGTTCCCTCTGCTTTCAGCGTCAAGTGGATATTTGTAATTATAGTGACAGGTATTTTTATTTTTGTTTTTGTACCAGTTAGAACACAATATGTTTATAATATACATTATTGTTTAGGAGTTCATGAAGTAGTAGATTTAATGTTGAGAGGATTATGGGTTTGATCCCGATCAAAACACTGTCTTTACAGTACAAACAAAAAAAAAACTCCGTGGCTTTAGTCACCAAGCCGAGCGACCGCCGCTTGTCGGCGAAGTTGGTGCCAACATTAGCGGATAGAGGGTGTCTCATGGTCAGCGCAACGAATCCCCACGGCCGTTAATTTCGGTTTCCTAGACCGGAGCCGCTATTTCCTGGAAATAGCTCCTCAATTACCCTCACAAGGCTGAGTGGACCCCGTTCCAGACCCACTACTTCTCAAAAAATCTGTAGCGCCGGGATTCGAACCCGGACCTCTGGATCTGTAGCCAGGAGCTCTGACCACTAGACCACAGAGGTGGTCCAATCTTTACAGTATATATATATATATATATATATTATAATTGTGCTAAGATTATGCGCACACACTACGTACAGGCAATACTAATTCTGCTGGTAAGTAGATCTGCCTTCCATTGGTTAGTCTCATGAAATATGCTTATGCAATATAGAGCATGAGACCCACGTGTTGTATTTTTTCAGTACTGGGTGTCATATTGGATTGTGAGTACATAAAATGGAGCTAACAGTGTTGAAAATAAAAATACAGATATATCATACATTGATAACTAGATATATTGTTCATTGATAAAACACCTGGAGGCAATAGTGAACTCCCAAAACATTGTATAAAGCGACTGTATACCTTGGACAATGGATAGTGTCCAATATCTAGACTGTGGTCTTCTGGAATATGACACTTTGTAGCTTGTTACTAAGTTTTGGAGAAATATTCTGTCTTCATCATCAGTATAGAATGTTCTCTGAAATGTTAGTAATCACCTTCACAGCCGCATAGAGTCATTACCAGAAGATCAGACTGTTCCTGCCTTTCAACTGCAGTGAAAACCAGAAATCTCATTGCACCCAACACAACTGCAGTATGATCTATCAGCTGAAGAGAATCGTAGGAGTAAGATTCTTTTCCAAAGCATGTTCAGAAATAAGCTTTGTCTTAAGAAATTGTTTCCTTGCCTTTGAAGTTCAGATATGTGCTAAAGTGGATTGTCACCATTTGAATATTGTACTCCAGTATCTGAGGGCTAGAGCTCACCTCTCAGAGACATTCACTAAATTAGTTTAATGTTGCAGAATTAATGCATGTTCAGAATTGCTTCATATTTCTTGCGTTTGTATTTATGAATATCTGTATGGACTGGAGTTCAGACTTTTGTGTTCTTGTTTTTAGCTTATGTATTTAATTCTTGGTTTGATTCACAATTCTGAACGATTTTCAAAATAATATGTATTCCACCGGTTAAGAATTGAGTACCAGGAATCTTCTGGGGGTAAAGGGCGGCCAGGTGTAAGGCTGAAAAACTCTCTGCCACCTGCGGACGTACTGTGTAGAAAATATGGGAACCTCGATGATCACAACCTTACAGGCCTCCAAGGCCTGTTACAGGGATAGCTTTATCAATTTGTTAGTAATTCTACATTATACTGTAGAATCTTTTAACTGCAGTTGATTGTCTAATTTCTGGTTCCACATTCTTTTATTTTATAGGCAAAATATCAAGGATGAGAGAAATTATTGTAAACATAGGCCTAAAAATGCATGTTCGCACATTTATGGATACATCAGTAGCAATGAAAATGAAAACTGTGACAACCAATATTTGCATTAAATGTACTTGTATGTATTTAAAAGACCACCTCTGTGGTCTAGTGGTCAGAATTTCTGGCTACAGATCCAGAGGTCCAGGTTTGATTCCCGTCGCTACCAGATTTTCTGAGAAGTAGTGGGTCTGGAATGGGGTCCATTTAGCCTCATGAGGATAATTGAGGAACTATTTCAAGGAAATAGCCGCTCCAGTCTTCATTCATTCATTCTTCCAGTCTATAAAGCCGAAATTAACGGCTGTGGGGATCTGTTATGCTGACCACCAGACATCCTCTGTCCAGTAAAGTTGGCACTAACTTCGCCGACAAGCGGTGGTCGCCCAGTCAGTATAGTTCGCTTGCAGACTACAAGCTATGGAGTTTGTTTTTATTTTGTTTTTTTGTATGTATTTAAAACATGCCTGACATACAGTAAGACTTTACAAATCACCCCCAGTAAATATTGATCTTATATCACTGAAAGACTGTCTAAGGTCAGTCCCAAGGTAAAATGACCAAGAAGGTTGGCATAGCGAAAATATTATAGACTCATATTTGGAAGATGCTTGGTTCAAATCTCGCCTGGGACATTAGCTAACCTGTCTGAAGTGTTTATATGTTTCTCCCCACTCCTACTAGGTATCTTAATTATTCCATGATCAGCTCCTTCAGGTTGTTTCGCTTTCATTAATCATCCTGTCATGCTACAATATATACTGTAGACACCGATATCATTATAAAATAACCCACACAAAAAATATAAGATGATTAGATATTTGAAATACAAGGAGAAACAATAGCTGTGCACAAAATTACAGTTGAACATCTAATGATCTTGATGAAGACCTAGACATTAATGGGAGAATAGTATTAAAATTAATCTTAATACAGTAGGTTGTAAACATTTGAACTGCAAGCCTCATAATGCTGGTCAACTGGTTGCTTGCTTCCTTTCTTGCTTGGTTGTTCGGCTACTTGGCCGTTTTGATGGGTGTTGCTGACAGATACTCAGCATTTGTATACTGGACAAAGTTGGCCTTGGCTCACAGTTAAAAGTCCCTGGCCACTAATATTGGTGGACCAGTAATTTAGTCCAGTAAGGATCATGACAGGTCATGGCTATTCTTCCACATTAATGGGAAGTTATTTGTGGTTTAAGATGAAGTTAATTGGCAGTGTTATCCTATTAGAAGTTATTGTTATTTTGTTCTCAGGTTGTGTTACAGCTGCAGTCGTGATTCAGTCACATTGCTCTAGGCTGTAATGATTTAATGGATAACAGATCTCAGCATGTCGGTGAAGAGTGTCATTGTGACCTTTCAGCTTGGCTAGTTTGGGTGGACCTGAACTCCTGTCATTTGCAGTTTTTGTTACAGTGGAAGAATTCTATTCCTTAACTAATTAAGGTCATGCTTGATTTGTTTAGGTTTGTTTAACCAGAAGTGTGATATAAGTCATGCATAATATACTTTCATGTAACCTGTGCCACTTTCATAAAACAAATGTTGTCGAGTATAGAAGTCACTGTGAAATAATAAATGAATTTTTGTAGGTGTTGTATATCTCTTGTTAAAAATAAATTATTCTCATATGGAATTACATTTGTAAACTTATCATCCAAAATAAAGTGAAGGAGGATGAGGTGGCCAGGGTATGTAGCACCAATGGGGTAGAAGAGGAATGCGTATAGGATATAGGTGAGAAAGCCAGAAGGAAAGAGACCACTGGGAAGACCAAGATGGAGGTGGGTGGACAATATTAAAATAGATCTTACAGTGATAGGATGGGATGGTATGGATTGGATTGATCTGGCTTAGGATAGGGACCAGTGGATCGCTCTTGTGAACACGGTAATGAACCTTCAGGTTCCATAAAATGCTGGGAAATTCTTGTGTAGCTGCAGATTTGGCTTCTCCTCAAGAAGGGCTCAGCTCCATAAGTAAGTAGGTATCATCCAAAATAAAATAAATGGGCTCTTATAGTATTGGTCATAAGGAATTTTTGTTATTATGATTGTTGCTTCAGTTAAAGTTCTTGTTCTTACACATTTTAAGACATGTTAACATTCTTTTGTTCATAATCAATAAACACATTAAATAGAAATAGTAGATCTCTCATGCATATAAGAGGAAATTAATTTTCATTCGGAAATATGCTTTCATTTGCTTTTTTCAACTTCGCCCTCTATAAATACGTAAATGTCTTTAAAGAGGCTCAAAATAGTTTGCCGAACTGTGTACAGTAGGAAATCAGTGTACATAGTTAGTTTGGTGGTGTTCTTCAAAATAAATAAATAAATAAATATTTTTCTCAACATAGTTTATTACGATTACATTTGGACATGACATATGTGGACATGGATTTTTACAAATAAATCATATTAACTACTTTTTTGTTGATATTTATTCAATATGTAGGCCGTTAAATCATTCAGAATTCTCATTTTATAAATAATGCTTCCTTTTCCGTTGCAGCAGATTTTCTGATCTGAGTTACAAATTAATTGTATGCAAAATAGATGGCAGACTTCATAGGATTGGAGCTAATTGTTTATTACCTGTATGTGTTCCGAATTCGGATGACCGAGTAATTACATTCTGGCATCACTCCACAGATGGCTTCTCTATTCAAGCTGCTGATGAACTGATCTGTGCAAGGCAATAAATCAATCTGTGACAACAGACATGTCTTTGATGTTCAAGGTTGCACTGAACATTATTAAATTATATCATATACCAAGTTAGCTTACTATTTAATATGTCAGATTTCCATGTGGGAGTTGTGGAAAAACTTATGATGGTTTTCCTTTGTGCCTCCAACCAGTTCCTGGAAGAACAGCCAAATTAGGCTTTGACTACTTTAACGTCAGTGTGCACACTCGATGACATGTGTCTCAAGAATGTCCATTGCATCCATTAACCTTGATGCAAATATGAAGCTTTAAAATGTATAAATATCCAAGTAATGTGTAATGGAACTGAAAGTTCACTACCGTTGATACAAAAACCCTTTCTTATGAAGTGACTGTGAATGAATTCAGTGCAGTGGACATCCTCACGACCTATTTCCTAAGATCCATTTTAAAATTCTCTCTCCCCATCCTCAGTGGTTGCTTTTTCAAGGGGTATGTATTTGATTTGTTTCCTTGTCTAATTCATCAATACCATCTTCAATCACAAAATGCAGAGTGAGTGATAGAAGTCACTACTCTCTTTATTAAATAATATCCTCAGTTCTCCATGTTTTCTTTCCCAGGCCAGATATTCTCCTTAGGAATTTTTACTTAGAAATTCATAAAACAATTGTATGCATTTTAATCCTCAGTGTTGTGGAAAACGGACAAAAAGATAAGTTTAGATCTCAAGCAGGAAAAAGGTTTTGTGAATATATAAGTATTCTTCTCTTAATGTCTTCATTGACTTTATTTTTGTTGTGTATTATTGTTACTAAGGCTTTTAATTAAACAAAAATTCTAACATGATTGATTGTGTTCTTTTCACAAAATGTTAAAAAGAAATTTTCACATAGAGAGAAGTCATGTTTCCATCTATCATCTGCATGTTTGATCTGCAAATGTAGTGAATGTATTTTATTTAAATTGCTGTAATGCACTAAAAACTGTGGGGTGAACTTAATTTTGATTCATAATAGCCCAGTATAAAACTAGTTTACATGTAGCTTAAATTGAACTTTATAAGGTTTCCCAGATGTGGCTGCTAGTATCAGAAAATACAACATAAAATTTGTTATTTGAAATATTTTCAGTACATTGAGTATTTAATTAAATGCATAAATAAATTATATATTGCTGTCTCCAGACTGACATGTAGTTCAGTCAACTTAGCAGCAGTACAATTTTATCTGTGGCAATTGAAATTAAGGTCAGTGAGATATGAAAGGTAGCTAATAGTGAATTCCACTCTTGTTACCTGTCCGTCCAGCATTGCAGAGGTCTTAGACTTCTTTAACTTTAACTTTAACTTTAATTAAGTTCCATAGATCCACAGTNTAGGCTCCTCCAACTTATCAGGTCTGGCTAAACATGTTTGAATGTATCCTGGAGTCACTGGAACAGAGTTGTGATGGTTCTCATTCACAACAGTACCACGGAGTCATTCCTTTCCTGCTATATCTTGGATAATGTGTTGTGTCAGAGACAAAATGCAATAGTGTCATCTTTTGTGATTGGTACTGGAGTACATGGGTGTTTTGGTGAGGGCTACTGTGAGAAGAACTGTGAACTTCTTCACCTCTGTAATTCATAATGTAGTAAATACCAAGGCCTGGCCATGATTCACATAGTGCTTTCTTCTTTGTCTTCTTCTTCTTATTCTTCTTCTTCCTCCTCCTCCTCCTCCTCCTCCTCCTCCTCCCCCTACAGCCCTCATTGTCCTCTTCCTTCTTTTCTTTGTCTTCTTCCTCCTCTTTTTCATCTTCATCCTCTTCCCCCCACTTCTTCATCTTCTTCCACCTCCAATTGTCCACCTTCTCTTCTTCGCCTTCTTCCTTCTCCTCATCCTCTTCCTCTTCTTCTTCTTCTTCTTCTTCTTCTTCCTCCCCTTCTTTGTCATNATTGTCCGCCTTCTCTTCTTTGCCTTCTTCCTTCTCCTCATCCTCTTCCTCTTCTTCTTCCTCCCCTTCTTTGTCATCCTCCTCCCCATTCCTTTCCTCCTCCCTCCTAGTTTCCTCTTTTCTTCCTCCCCTCCTCCTCCTCCTGCTGCTTCTTCGTCATTGTCACAGTAGAACTGATGCTTAGAAATCAAGACACACTCTTATTGACTGATGTTCAAAACGGAAGCATTCTAATTTTGTCAGGCAGGATGATTCTATCTGAAGAATAGCAACACAGTCTCAACTGGGTGTAGGAGCATGCCTTAAACATGGTTCTTGAACTGAGTAGCAATGGCAAAGCAACTAAGAAACACACAACTGATGTGTGACTGTGATTTTTAAGTGGCATTGATTATTGTGGAGTTCCAATCAGCTCCAAAACATGACTTGTTAATCACATTTTTTTTACTATCTATTTACCCTGAATTCTATCAAGAGATCACGAATTATTCAAAGGTTACTTTTCAGAAATTATGTGACATGCACGTTCTTTGTTATTGGTATCATTGGCTCCATTCTAATACAACAGAACACCGACTACACTGAGTACGTTGGTGTAGCGGTAACATTCTATACCTGTATTTGGGAGACATTTGGGCTATTGGTTTTCATTACTGAGGTTTTTTCATAGTTCCCTCAATCNAATTATTCAAAGGTTACTTTTCAGAAATTATGTGACATGCACGTTCTTTGTTATTGGTATCATTGGCTCCATTCTAATACAACAGAACACCAACTACACTGAGTAGGTTGGTGTAGCGGTAACATTCTAGACCTGTATTTGGGAGACATTCAGTTTGAATGTAAGCCTGGCTATTGGTTTTCATTACTGAGGTTTTTTCATAGTTCCCTCAATCTCTTCAAATGTATGTCGAGATAGTGCCTTGAAATGGGCCACAGCTGACTCCTTTGAAATCCTTAAAACCTTTCTCATTTTGCATGATCATATTCCAGCCTCATTAAGTGCTAAAATTGCATTAGAATGACCTAAGAGTCAGTCATCACGGATTATTTTTCAAATACTCAAACAATAAAATGTTAGCTTTACAATATTTGAGATTTTTACAGTGGTGGCCATGAAGTTTACTGTCTCCTGACATGCAGCACCATGTAACTTAGTAGAATGTTACCAACGTTTTGGAGCAACCTGCTGCCTCCATCTTCAGCATAGAAAAGTAAAACAGTAATTTTTAATCTACCTTGAAGATGAAGGCATCAGTTGCTCTGAAACATCGATAACATACCAATAGGTCACATGGCTTCATAACCCAGAAGTAATCTTAAGTGTTAACTTTGTCTGAATATCAGTTTTCTCCATTGAATCATTACTACATTAATCAGTACAGTTGAAAAACTATTTTAAAATAATCAAAGAATTGTTATCACCTAGAACCACTGTGTCTGTCAGAATGCCTTCCAAGATTTCAGAGGATTGCCTGGTCCTGGGTAGCTTTTTCCAGAACACAGGTGTATAGGAGGCCAATCCATGGTAGAGCCCCCAAACTGGAGAGCTTGCAGTCATTGGAAATGGCAATAAATACACAGAAATTTGCATGTTAAAGGTATAATTTAAACATGTGACTCCAATTGGTTAACCTCTGAAACACAAGGGCTACTATGTCTACCATATTCTGCCCATAGAGTATAGAGTTTCATAAGAACCTCAGAATAAACAGCTGCTATTTACTTATAGACTATTAACCAGTTAATCTTTGATATGGAGACACACATTGTGCTTTCTGTAAGGCCAAAACTAATTTGCAATATGTAGATAAATTCCTGGTTTCAAGGAATTAAAACCTGTATCTGTATCACTGAAATTAAACAGCAGTTATTATTTACATATCCCCTTCATACATTTGTGTCTGCAGATGGTAAACTAATGTTAATACTGTAATTATTATACCAATTGGTGAGTCCTGTCATGAAAAACTGAATGTCATTGTCAAGAGTCTGGCATTCGTGCTTTGTATCTGGGAGACCTCGAGGTGTAATTCTCAGTCTTGGAGGCCAGTTATCCTGAATGAGATTTCTGTCGTTTTCATCACTCCCTCTATGTAAGTCCCTCTTCCTTTCATATCCCTTACATTTCATAATTCAGTTTCATCCTCCCACTTAGCACTACATAATATATGCAGTTGAAAAGTGTCATGAAATAAATGTGGAAAAGAACATAAGAAACAAACTTAACAGTTTGCTTTAAAGTTCTCATCTCTCTGATTATTTTGAACATATTTCAAAACAAATGTAATTTATCGCCAAAATTATTCCTACAGTATGTATGCAGGAATTAGTATCCTTCATTTTAACAGTTTGATGAACTGGAAAGATACACAGATAAGGGTTAATTATAGTTTTGAAGGTTATTAATTTAACTTACAGCTCTCTTAATTATGACAAAACAAAATAAGCGAACCAATTACAAACTGATGACATTCACATAAACAGAAAGCTCATGTTATGCAAGAATAGATCTTATTATGTCCAAAGCACAGAAAGAGCCACTTGTTATTGACCAATTTTTCTGTCTGCAGCTGTTGAATGAGCAGCTGAATGTGGACCAGTTTTTGCCTGTCCTGTGTCCCCGAGCATCACAGTTGATTGCAGCCTATGATGAGCATGTCCTGGTTTCCAACTTCAAATTCGGTGTGTTGTACCAGCGCTTTGGACAGACTACAGAGGAACAGCTATTTGGCAATGTTCAGTCCAGTGCAGCTTTGGATGAATTCCTGGAACTGCTGGGACAGCGCATTCAGCTTAAGGACCACAAAGGGTAAATTCCTTAACCGTAAGAAAAGAGATCAGAAGTAATTTATGAAATTAAGCCAGTGTTTCTCAGTGTTATACCTGTAGCACTGATTGTTATAATTTTGAAATTAGTGGCACACTAGGAGGCTTTGTTCAGAGTTCAGAGCACCTCTAAGTGAGATGGGGTCTGAGTATTCCCCCTTTCCCACAAGGAAACTTTTTTTTTTAAAGTACACATTAGTTACTTTAGCATTAAAAACTTAACATTTGAAGTTGGATTTTTATGCTGAATTTATGTATTATGACAGTAAATATAGTAAATGAAGAAATGCTCTATAAGCAGATCATGAAGCACACTTATATCTACTGTTCTAGTGACACCTGCTTTTGGAAAGACTGAAATAAACAGTGTAAAGATTATAGAACAAAATTAAAATGTTGACTATCTTAATGTCTTGCAAGATTTATGTATCAGCATGTATTTGTGCATATATGCATGCACATAGCAATGTAAAAATTATGCTCTTGAAGACTACTCCATATTATATTTTTGTCTTCTACCATCAGTAGTACCAGTAGTGCCAGAAACATGAACCCAGTATACAATATACAATATATATGTGAGATTGTCCATCTGTCCCCCACTGGTAACTCTGAAATCTTTATTTCTCTTCAAAGTGGTCTCTGCTGCATCAGTAATTTGAGGAGTGTGTGTTGTAAGAGTGTTGTCAGTGGTCAATAAATCCAGTCTGCAGTCCAAACCCCATCTATAGTCACACTCTATCATGTGAAAATGTTATTCTGCTGATTTGCATTTCAGATACCGAGGAGGTTTGGACACACAGTTTGGCCACACAGGAGATGAAGCAGTATACGAGGTATTTAAGGACAGGGAAATAATATTCCATGTTTCCACGCTGCTGCCCTACAGGGACAGTGACCCTCAACAATTGCAGAGGAAGAGGCATATTGGTAGGTGTGGCAAGTGACATATACTGTGGACAGACTCTGAAGAACAGAGCTGATATTTGTGAAATCATAATATTTCCCATGACAAAAATGACCATCATTTCTTGAGATTAACCATTATTTAGCTAATACATGAACAAAGTATAATGACAGTTTAGTTGCAAGAAAACTTGCAAGGCAGAGCGAATATATGCACGTGAAGTCGTGGAGGAGGAAAGAACAAAGGGTAGATTACCTCCAAATAATATAAATGTATAATGAAATCTGTGAGGAATGAAGCATTTTAAAGAAGTTCATTAAGTCTAGGCACAGTGACTTTAACTCATATGCACTTAAGCTAAATTAACATTAAATAGAAAGAAATTAAAGAACAAGTTAATGAAATTGCTACATATTTACATTGACAGCATGCGAGCACATATTACCTGCATTGTCATCGGTACATCTGTCTGATCCAGATGAATAAGTTTCTAATGTACTTTCATATTTAGAATTTTTGCCAAAATTGACACTGCAGTCTTCTACTACAGTTGAAAGTCATAATATTTGGCTAGTTTCACATCAAGTGTGTGTTTATGCATGTTGAGGGGACTGTACCTATGCCAGGTGGAGGTGTGTGTACCCACATGAATTCATATTCCATTTAGATTACCTTGTCAGCAATTATGCAGAAGTGAACCACAGAGATTCATGAACTAGGAAAACAGTTAATAAAATTATTGGATATTGAATGGATGTCTGGAGTTCAATTACTGACATGGTCTTCTTTTCTTCCATCATCCCATTCAAACTGGCCCTGAGATCCAGCCACCATCCTTTCAGTTTGAATGGCAGCATTTCCATAGGCTTGAAGCAGTTGGAGTGTGGAGCACCCCATTGACCTCCATCTGGTGCTGATAATCTGGAATGTGAGGAGCTTTACCTACTTGTGTCTCTGTATTCCACCATAATGCAATGCTTGGACACAGGGAAAACTTCTGCTTTACCACAGGGGTTCCTTTCTAATGCCAAACATTGTCATGTAATGCTTATCACTGTTGCTTCATATATTTTTATGTGTGTCTGTTTTCTAGGCAATGACATTGTGGCAATAGTGTTCCAAGAATCAAACACTCCATTCTCACCTGATATGATTGCATCGCACTTTCTTCATGCATTCATTGTAGTGCAAGTACTCGATCCCAACAGCCCTAACACAAGGTGAGTGGTACTGTCATGAAGAGGGTAACAAATTAATTTCATTGTACAAAATCATCTTGATAAGTTTGTCAAGAACTTCCCATCTTTTTGTGTAACCTGTGGGAACATCCCACATTATCACGCATTTCTTCAACGCTCGCTCTTCACATCACTTTTCACCATCACGCGCGCTAACCAATCAGATTGCTACAAACGATCGCATTTATACTACGCTCGGCGCTAGCCCGCGTCTACACCATTACGCGCGCTAGCCAATCAATTCTTGCTCCTCACTTTCGAGTTTGGCTCCGCCCCACCGACCAGCGTATAAAAAGGAGCGACTCCAGAGTCGAGAATTCAGTTCATCGTCAGCCTACGAGCTAGCCACATCAAGCAACTTCAGCCAGCAGGCTTCGTCGCCAGTGCTCGGTCTTCGGAGGCATCGGCAGGCTGCGCCGGGCACGACTGCCTCGGCCCTCCAGCGCTCTCACACCCGACTCACTGGGGCACAGCGCCTGGACTCGCCGGTGGTCGTGTTACGGTTCGACTCACTGGCCATCTGGCGTAGCCACTGCCTCATGGCTCCTACGACCGCGCTCGACTAGCCTTTTACCACCAGCAGCAACCTCCGCCATTTGCCGCGCTGCGATCAAGCAACCTCCAACTCACGCTGCCGCAAGGCAACCAAGCAACCTCCAGCCATGGCCGCACTGCGGCCAGGCCACTCGCCATTCACTAGCCTTTCTCCTTACCGGCGCGCGCCGCGCTACCTCACCGGTCAATCATCTCAGCAGCCACGGTCCTTTTCAGGGCCAACAAACTGTTCCGAAGAAGTGGGTTGTCATAGGAGTAGCGACAAGACTACACACATCGATGACAAGAGAACCCCACAGACCAAAAGATACAGTACCATTTGAGGTTCTCACAGAGGTAAAGGCAAAGATGTGATGCCTCATACCCTGATAGGAAGGCACCAGTGTTTCCGAGGAACCAGCAGTCTCCTTCTACATGACAGAAGCAAGTTCTTTACATATTCACATCAAAATATTATCAGTACTCACAGAATACACGACGCACTGAAAATAAAGACTTATGACTCCTTTGTGACTTACTGCATAACTAATGTTCATGCAGCATGGTAATACTCAACAGTTCCCTGCCATTGCAACCTGAAATTTCGTAATTTCAGAGATTTCATCTAACCATTACACTGTTTTTCTATATATGCAGTAGGATATATTTCAGTTTCACCCAAAGAAATGGCTGCGTAAATTGTCAGGGCTGTCACAGAAGTTTGATTTGTCTCATTCTGGTCCGTCACACTAACAATCACAAAATCAGATAGCTTACAGTCCAGTGGGACACACAAGTTCACCACACCGAAGTGTGGTGAACTTGTGTGTCATTCATGTTTGTAATTGTGTAACTATNGCTTACAGTCCAGTGGGACACACAAGTTCACCACACTTCGGTGTGGTGAACTTGTGTGTCATTCATGTTTGTAATTGTGTAACTATTTATTGACTGTTGGATTAATCATGACATTAAGTATTATTAACTCTTTAAAGTGAAAGAGTCAGTGAGACAGGTTCTTCCATGATGCAGTCAGGCTAATGATTAGAGGCTGGCTTCATGTTATATGTGATTCTCAAAAAAATTGTATTTCTATTGCAGCTGTTGTTCTATTTTTATTATTTTGTCAGAATGTATAATTGTAATAATGCATCAGTAAGTGGTATGTTGAACAATGTTAACAGGTACAAAGTCAGCGTGACAGCTCGTGATGATGTTCCATTCTTTGGGCCAACACTCCCATCCCCGGCCGTTTTCAAGAAGGGCCCAGACTTCAAGGATTTCTTGCTTACAAAACTGATTAATGCTGAGAATGCTTGTTACAAGGCAGAGAAGTTTGCCAAACTTGAGGTGAACATCAGTGTATAGATAACATTTCACAGAAACCAGGAGCATGATATTTCTGGAGGGGCACTTCCATTCATTTGTTGAATGTGTTTTATTCTGCCTTACACAATGAAGAGATGAAAGTAAGCAACTTCAAGAGAGGAGGGGTGGGGAGGATGGATACTACATCAGCATCCACCCATTAAAGTAAAAATTGCACAACAATTTGATCATAACTATTTATTAAAAGGGCCAACTGGTATTAAAAGGACTAACAAATAATAAAATGCTTTATTCTTGTTTATTGATGATAAATGTAATGTGAGGTTTGTTTATTTTACACATTTATAACTACACATTTTAAAACACTTGTGCAACATGCAGAAGATGCTCTCTTTTTTATTGACCACTGGTGTTATTACTGTCAGTTTTAGTAGAACATTATTCAAGGTGACAGTACATGTCAAAGAATTTGTCAAATACAGTGACTACATAATGATCTGCTTACTACACATTCATTTGTTTCCAGATCTTGTTACTGTTTTGTTTGTTTTTTACTGTTGAATTACATTTTATAGGCAACCAGTATTTGGGAGGGAGATTCATTTTTCCACAGTTAGCAGTAACATTTCTAGTAATATGAACAGCCCCATCTATTAACATCAGTAATGTTCTATGAGAATATACAGTGTCGTCCCAGAATCCAAAAAGACAGTTATTTTTTTAAGAATCCCCTTTCATCATTTTAATACTTGTCCCACTATTCTCGTAATGTGCTTCTTAATGCTATACATGTTAAGTATCTTGACTTGCATATACAGAATTTGTAATTTTAGAGTTGAAATAATGAGAAAGATCACAGGTAAATTATTGTCAGCTAGTCTTGATTTTTCTAGATAATATGTATGTTTGCATTCTACAGAATGTCTTAGAATGTACTACATGAAAAGCCACAGACATAAAAAATTGCAGTGCCCCCTTGATTATAGTAGGTCAGTTACTCATACTTTTCACAGTTTTCATGTGTTTAATTTTTTGGTAATAACAGCAAATTGTTATTTATATGTACAAGGACTCCATTTCTTAATATAAACCTTCAAAAACAAAGTGACAATGAAGAAACAATAAATATATTCTGTCTTCACAGCTGCGAACACGGACATCTCTACTGCAGTCTCTGATAGATGAGCTACGAGAGAAATCAAGAGATTTCCTGGGTGGTGCAGACTCTCCGCAGTCAGCCCCTGATACACCCAAGTCTGATGGCAGTAGTGGTGCTGGCAGTCGTTTCATCGACACAGTCCGTAAGGCCCTTATAGCACGAGTGCGAAGTACAAGTGTGGACAATAACCTAGGGAGCAGTACAAGCAGTGGACAGGTCTGCAAGAAGCCCACCTCAGCCCAACAACCTCAACAGCCTGCCATACCAGAAACAGCTACCCCTTCAGTAAGTAGTGCATAGTAGCTAGAACATGTCCCATGCTTGTAAGACCAAATTGTGCTTGAAGAGAAATATGGACAGACATTTAAAATTTAAAGCAGTATAATATTTTCCTACTCTAATAGCCTCATTAGGAGTTTACTTGTTTTTGTATCCCAGGTTTTATGTGTCTCTTTGAAGAAAGTACAAGGAGTAAATGCATGTATGGGATGTCCACGTACATACTTTCAAATGGAGCAGTCAACACAACAAGAACAATAATACTCAATAAGACAAAATAGGCACTATCCTATCAACATTTGTGTATTTGTGCAGTTCTTATTGTGACATGTTTCAACCTTTCTTTTTAGGTCATCCTGTATTGCCTCAGGATGACCTAGAAAGAAAGGTCAAAACATGTCATTCTGTATTGTCTCAGGATGACCTAAAAAGAAAGGTTGAAACATGTCACAATAAGAACTGCACAAATAAACAAATGTTGATATGATAGTACCTGTTTTGTCTTACTGAATATTGTTGTCGTCATTGTCATTGTCATTGTCGGCGGCAGCTGTGGTGGTGGTGGTGACTGCCCCATTTGAAAGTAGTTAAAGACACAACAGAACACAACTTTGAAAGATGTCCACATATTTCAGCTCCAAAATTACAAAATAAATGTTGTTGAAATTTAGTTATGGTGGAGTTTGCATGAAATGTTTTCAGTCCATTATAACACCTACGTTATATTGAGGTCAAAACAATCTTTATTAATATGTCAGAAATGACACATACAAACGCTTTATATATTAAATGAAATATAGGTCACATTAAGATCTACAACTTTCATATGGATTATCTTTGTTTCTGGCAGATATTTAATTAAATGTAAGGAAAAATAATTTCTGACTCTTATGTGCAGTAATATTTACAGTGTGATAAGCTACACATCTGTGGATTAATATCAGCAATAAATCAGCATAAAGCCAGTGGAATATTAAAAGTAGTAAAGGGTACGTTAAGAAAATACATGTATTCCTGGTGAATCTTTTCATTTTGTTTTATGTTCAAAACCAGGAGTTACATCAAGGCTGATTTTACTTAAAATCTGCAGCATGATATCCCAGCATGCTGGTAGCTTGTGATTTGGTTGGTGCCAGTTTTGTTTAGATTAGTTTTGCTTGAGTTATTTTAATTTGAGAAAGCAGTATTTAATATACAAGTACTTTTGACATTAGGTGATGTATGAACCATATTTTGCAGTCAGTGCATTGATTATATTTCAGATTATGTTTCAGAGTGGAAGATCCTTATCAAAGGGCAGTGGAGGGGGAAAGAAAAGTGCACCATCTTCTCCAGTATCCAGTCCAGACATGCAGAGCCATAGAACAGCAAGGTGAGATACTTCCTTCGATGGTGTATATGATACAAATATGGGAACATAATTTATATAGCAGTGATTTTTAACCTTTTTACTTCATGCCCCATTTTGTTCTAAAATTCCAATGCCTCCTCCCTTCTCCAGAAAATGTTCTAACATCATTTAAGTGCTCTGCAGAGAACACATTCTTTATTTATATAGATTAACACAGCCCTAATGAGAATTTCGCACTAAAGGAAATCACACTAAGTATATAAACATTACTAATAATGATAAATATGTAAATATAATGAGGGAGTTACAGAATAAAGAAAAAACTATTGTTAAAGTGGAGTGAAATACTAACAATAAAAATAATTAATAATGCACACTAAAGGTAGAATAAAGAGTAGTGCTTTCTTCTGGGATGTAATACCATGTAGTCCAGAGGACGTTGACCATTGCTCCAGAGAAACATAGTGCCTCCTTCTTTAGGGTCAAAGAGTAAGCCATGCAAGTAACTATGAAGAAGGAGGTGGCCAGCGAAACTTTGCTTGTTGCTTTGAAATGTCTGTGAACTTCTAGCATTCTATGTAGCATTACATCCCAGAAGCTAGTACTCCTCATATTTATTCGCTGCCATGAGAACATTAAGTTAGAAGGGTTGGAACATAATAATTCCCCTCAGCTCCTCCATAATGAGCACTTGAACTTATTTGGTGAATCTATTTTTCTTTGGTTTTGATGCACAGTTCACAGGTTATAAGAATCATTTTGTGGGCAGTCAGAAATAAGCTGTCTTTTCATAACAGTTATCTCAGGTTTTGAACCCAAAACACCAGGGTGACCATCTGGAGATAAGTAAGATTTACCACATTCCAGTAATGTAAGCTCAGATACTTCAATTAGTACAATGACTGGAATTTAATTCCCAGCAGAAGCATTACTATTACTGTCCAGATCAGCTCTAGGGCCCATCCTCTTTCTTATCAAAGGAGACCTAAGGGGTTATTCTCTGGGGATAAAACAGCCAGAATGTGAAGCTGATGATTCACCATCCTCTAATGTTGATTTATACTCGTAGAATTGGTGGAGTTCTACCTCTGGTTCCTGTACATATCCATAAAGTACATCAAGATCAGTCATATAAATTGCTGTGGGCTCTTGCCAGCACAGTCATTCTTGGTTCCAAGTCTCGCAGAACTTGTGACCATACTTTAGTGTCTCACAACTCTGGGAGTCGCGAAAACTTAGTACAGCAAGGTCTCATTGACCATCTGTGTGTAGCTTCAATGCTGATCCCTTTCTATGTACATATTCACTGCCACAGAAACATGTTTTAACAAATCATTGCATAGCAGTTGACTCCTATGCAACACTTTTCTGACTCTAGTAATCTGACCTTTAGGTATCATCAAAATTTGCACAAATATCGCTTTCTAGGACCCTCCAAATTGCAAGAAGTCTTATTCATCAGAAAGATGAGTAATGTGACTCATGAATTTCAGGCCAGCATTATCAGAAAGTGATGACTCGTCGCTGAACAGTGTGGATCTGGATGCTGCGGTGTATGTGGATAGTGATACTGGTCTGGAAAGCATGTCAAGTGCTGAGACACCTCACAAGGCCTGCAGCCTCTGCCTGGACGCTGGAGAAGCAAGTGGAAGGCAGGCTGAGGCACTGCGGCAAGAGGTGACACGCCTCAAGTGTGACAAACTGGACCTGCTACGTCAGAATGTGGTGAGTCAAGTGGGATCGACAATGACTTGGCTAGCAGTGGGTATGAGGTTTGTTTGTTCCTCCAGCACTGAGCGGGATGGAGGAGACTAGTATTTGGAAGTAAACAGTTTGAATCTCAGCCACATTACCAGTTATCCTGAGTGAGGTTTTGTGATGTTCTTCAAACAAGGTGAATGCCAGAACAGAACTTTCAGCATTCATGATCATATTCCCATCATATTCACTGCTGTGAAATCCCTCCAACTGACAGAACATTTTGCATCATAAAATAATATGTTATAAATCATGACCCTTTGTTTTTAAGAGATTTAATGAATATGTTCCAGCATTGTTTTGTCTGTACTTGCATAGACCTACAAATTCCAGCCTCATCTCTTCTTTAACCATTTTTATGTTGTGAAAGGGATATATCTCCCTGAAATTGGTCCTTATTTCCCGTATGCGTTTCATGTGTGGAGTTACTAGAAAACAAAATCCTATGTTGACACCTCTTTTGACATTTCGACCTACTTTCTGTGGATCAGTACATAGAGTTACAATAAAAATATAAAACGCCTTTATTGCAGGGACATTTTCTTTCATGTGTTACAAATTTTGTGATGTTTGGGTAAATTTGTTTTCCCTTATGAATACAATTCATTTGTAAGGTTTGTAAGCTTTTGCAATGGATGAATCCACTAAAATCTTCTCAGGTAATCGGCCATGTTGATGCCAAATTAAAAGCCAATATTTTGGGTAGTTGCTCTGTCTCCATCATCAGGCTTGATGTGCTTCAGATTGTCAAGAGAGATGACCCTGGTGCTGAAGGCAGAGCAGATCTCTGAAACATCGGTCCGTAACTCAACATTGACATGGCTGATCACCCAAGCTGGTTTTAATGCAGTAAAATTTATTAATTTGATTACAATGTTGTTAGTATAGTTTTCCAGTTATGTTCATCATAGTGGCAAGAGACTGACAGAGAAATAGGAAGAGGCCTCTTTTTGCCATATTTCACATACTAAAAATCTGAAATGAGATACTAAAGACTAACATTCCTCCGACCACAAAAACACTCATGAGGTTCTGTGCATTCAGCCACAGATTTGTAGCTACAAAGACAACATAAATTAAACTAATATTCACATTAACTATTCATAATACCGAACAGTGCAGCCCTAATATGCTTTATCACTTTATTTTGACAGAATTTTCAACGGGACATCAAACAGTTGCGAGAAAAGGAGCTACAGTTGCGGTCAGACCTTGCAGCAGCCTCTAAAGAGATACTGCGTCTACGAGAGCTTCTGAAAGACTACAGCAGTGGGGGTGAAAGTTCCCCAGTGTAGATCCGTAGCCTCTGTCTCTCCTGAAACACCAGACCAGTTGACTAGATTAGAGGGTTCCAGTTGAAAGGAGGAGGGGGAGACATTTATGTAATCCTTCTTTTCCTATAGAAAGAATGCAGAAGCTGTCACCATTCTGTATGGCACAATTTAGATTAGAGGCGTTAATTTCCAGTGGTTTTCAGGTCTTTAAGCCCCTATGAAATTTTGTGTCATTTTTCGCTTTGGATGTCTTGCCCCCTATCACAAGTCAGCTGGCACTGTTTTGTGTGTGTGTGTATGTGTAACATTTCTTCTTAAGAAAAATGGCTGGGCAGTTGCTAAGTGTAGCTTTCAACTGCAGATCATTGCAAAAACAGAAATGAGGGTGTATACGAGATCTCATGTCATAGTTAAAGATGGAGTATTTCAGTTTATGAAAGAAAGCCTCATCTTGTTTTCACAATGCTGTTTTGCTGGTTTATTCTTAAATGTTTCAACAATGGTGAGTTAAGAACAAATGATCTATCCTTCCAGCACTTACTTCAGTGGCTAATAATAGCTTATCATCATGGTTCACTAGTAACAGCCAAGTTACATCCTGAGGAATCATCATATTCACAGGTCAATCTTCACAGTTTTTTTGTTCAGTTCTGAGTAGATAGGTGCAGTGTTGTTGGTGCTGTGTTAAATTAAAGTACATTATGTGATGGTAGAATATTCTTGCAATTTTTGTAATCAGTTGCTATTTACAGTTGTAACTTGGTATGTGCTGTGAATGGTCGGTTCTTTAAGTAAAAGTAGTTATCAAAACAGGGGCAGTAAGTAGACTTGTCTTTGAGGTTTCTTGAATGAGGTTGTCAGTAACTTGGAATGTAAACAATAGAGAAGGTTGTTTGAAGTACAAGGTGCAAATGCATCTGTCCTTCGTCAACCTTCCTATTGCTGGGATTCTTATTAGGTTGTGCTTTTGCAGGAGTGAACAGTGGTTAGTATCGCGGTAAGATTTGAGGTTCTCAGGTTTGTGATTATCAAGATTAACTCTTCTGGGGTGTAACACTCTGTTGTCTGATAGGCAGGAACCCACTGTGTCTACCACCGGGCAACAGGGCCCTCCAAAGCATTCATACCTATCCAAAAAATTAAAAAAAGTGTCAAATCTCAGAAGACTGTAATCTTGAGTCAATTTCAACTTGAGATAAATCTGTTAATTTTTGTTTTCCATAGTTACTTCAAAGTTAACATAAAAATTATGAAAATTATTGTATTTAATATTCCTGTTCTAAGAATCTTACACTGTGAAAAAGGCACAGTATCACAGGAAGCTATAAAATTCAGTTGCAGACTTAGGATATAGGATGTACCTCAATTTACAAGTCAAAATATATTTGCTAAATGATTCAATTTATGGATTTTAGGCTTTCGTAATGGTTCATTGTTATAATGATTTTTTTCTTGAGGCTGTGCACCATGTGGATGTGGACAGTGTTGATATTTTGGTGATACATGCTGCCTTCGCTTCAGGGTTGAACTGAGTCGAGTGAGAGGAAGAGAGGGGGAATGTGTGTGCATGCAGCTTTTGCCCTTTAAGGGGAAGACTGGGACTAGTCATCAGACACCATTTCTTCCCCCCCCCCCTTGGGGGGGCTTGACACTTAGTTCACTTGTTACGGCGACCACTATTTGGCCTGTTATACTAGCCCCAGATTATATATATAGTACGACGACAACGACGACGACTGTGGAACTGTCGGAATGAGAGTTGGCAGAGGAAGCTGAAGTATTCTGAGAAAACCTGCCCCAGTGCCATTTTGTTCATCACAAAGCCAACATTACTTGACCTGGGATTGAACCTAGGCTGCTGGGGTGGGAAGCTGACAGATAACCATCTGAGCTATGGCATGGTCAAACACTACCCTTCTCCAGTGGGTCTCATGGACCAAAACCTGTATATACATGAACACTCACCCACTTTACTTGCTTAACTCTGAAGATAAAGGCATGTACCTATGAAATGTTGGTATTACTGCCCATGTCCACACTGTGCAAAGATTCAAGAGCAGAATAAAATATTTTAATTTACTAATCTTTTTCTTCTTGCAAACACACCGTTTTAAAACCTAACAGAAAACAGTAATACTTCAGCCTGCACAGAGCTGCAAGTTGCTATGTCCTGACAGTGAAAGAGTTAAACATCAATACTACATTCCTTCATTACATGACAGATGTTAAAAAAATGTTGGGGAGGTTGGACGAAAGGTGCGCTGGACTGTATAATGCATTTTTATATCTATTTAATAGATGGAAATTTCTTGAGATGACTGATTTGCCCATGAGATGGAAAAGAAGTGAGAAGTACTATGTTTGTCTAGAGAGTCTCCTGTTTACTTTTATTTTCAGTTTCTTCTTTGCAAATCTTTTTTTTTATAGCTCATTATTATAATACATTATGTGAAGTTAAACCATGTTCATCAAGTCTTCTCAAAATGACATCTCATTTATCGTACAAATATCAGAGGATGTTTAAACAAACTGAACATGTAACAAGAATGTTTCATTCTTGTTATCCATGATATTTTAAGTTTTACTGGTCACATTGACCAGTTGACACTACAGTTTGACTGCTGCAGACACATAATACAGAATGGACAAAACATAAGAAACACAACCATACAAATAGATAATACAATACATCCATGTCTACCAGTGAATAAAAGAAAACTATGTACCAAAGCTAACATTCCTCGAGTCAGCACAATGTAGAATTATGTAATAATGATGATAATATATATACAGTCTCGCTTATCATGTGTAAATAATAGTTTTTTTTTAACTGGAATGAGAAATAAGCTCATTCCTTGGGAAGGTTGACATTTCATGTAACGAATACCAAAAATTATATAAATAATCAAAACAGGTAAGGTAAAATGTTCTCAGAATAAGGTGACATGGCGTGAGAAATCACCAGTATTTTCTTAAAAACTCCCATGAAAGGAACATCACATAGAAGTTTCAGTCTGGAGAAATTCAGACAAGAAATTTGATATTATTTTAAAATGGCATGTGTTGTGATACTCTTTTGTTTCTTATCTTGTCTTACATTAGTTTAAGAAAAGTATACAGATATTCAAAATACCTTTAACTTATTATTTTAATGAACATTCTGAAATGTTTCAGGCATTAGACTGATTTCCAAAAAAAGACAGTTTGTTGTAGAGCAACATCCACCACTTTAGGGGCACTGCATGTTATACTGACAAAGAAAGTGAAGTGAAATTTTTTATAAATTATATATGGCCATTGAATTTATTTTCTATTTTCACTAGATAATTAATGTGGCAAAATTACTCCAAGTTTTCAGGATCAGATGAATAAAAAATTTGGAAAATACAAGAACAGTATAACAGAATAGGTTAGATCTTGCATCTCTTGTTCCCCTACAGGTGTTTGTATTTCTCCTTATAGAGAAAACACCAGTGCTTCAGAAAATATACTGCACCGTTATTACAGCTTATATATCTGTAAATATGATTATACCATTCAAGAAATGCAAGAAAAATATAATGACCCTGATCAGTGAATATTTTAGAAATAGTACAGTAATTCTAAATTTTCAAGTATGTACACTTCCAATGCATATGATTGGATAATTTCAGTTTGATGAGAAAAACTGGAGATTGGTTACAACTGTTTTGCTAAGAACATTAAAGAACTTCTGAGTTTTCTTCTTGTTACCAGCTGTGGTTTCATGAAGTGTCGTCATTACCTCTGAGTTGTGTGATATATAATTAAAGAAATATTATATTAAATGTGAAGAAATGAGCTGTTGATCTACAATGAATATTTTTGCACTGGCCTTACAGTGACATTTCTGAACTTGTGAAGGAAGAGAGGCATCTTCATAAAATTATACCTAAAAACAAATGATAGTGTGTGATATATCTATATTTAGAGTTCTTCTTCATTGCCTGTTGGTGTTGTTAATTTATGTTCTTAAGTGGAAATTTGTCAAATATCCTGGAGCACATTAAATTGCTTTAAGCACGCACTGTCACATTTTAAGAAAAAAAAGAAAGGTTATATTTTATGAGTGGTCTTTCACAAATATTAAATCCTTGAAATTTTATGAAGGGTTGCATTTTCTCATCCATATAGTGTAATTTAAAAATTACTATATCTGACTTAGTTTGACTGTAAATTGCATATGTACATAAAAAGATTAAATTATGTAGTAATGTTATATACCAGGCTTGTCTTCTCTTTTTACCAGTTATATGTTGTCCTTTTCAAATTTAATTTCCCTTTTTACCAAATATTCATTATACTATTCAAAATCTTAACATCTTTTACCAATTAACTTGTTCCAGGTCTGTCATTTCAAATTAGCCCCTCAGTTTTAACCAGCTTTGTTCAGATTACAGAGGTTTGTTTGGTGAATTCAGGTCACACCTCCAAGGGGTTCATGTTGGAGAGGAAGTTCAGGCTATACAGGGTAAACCATAAATCCCTCCAGAACTTCTGAACTTGGCAGCACAGCAACCAAGACAGGCACAGCAGAAGGTCGTATCAGTAGGCAGAGAATCTCTCAGAGTTTGTTTGGGTAATACTCACCATGATGTACTGGCAGGTCTCACTACTAGGGGGAAGCCGTGACGAAACATGGTGAGGACAGAGGGTAAGAAAGTGTTCTGTGTCTTGGAATTTGTCAGAACTGAGTTAATGTGATTGTGCAATGGAGGTTTCAGACCAGTTATTACACAGAACCTCCTATGGACAAAGAAATTCATGAGTAGTTAAAGAAATTCTAGCAGAGTGGCTTCCTGCGAGCTGCGAAATGAACAAGCTGGCTGGGGCCATCACTGAGACTTGAGCATGTACAAGAAACTTTTGTCAGGAGCCCTCAGAAGTCAACACATCACACAATCCAAGAATTTCAGATGCCTCAAGTTAAGTGTCTTGCGCATTCTTCGCAAATGTCTTCACAAGAAAGGATACTGGCTACACATGCTGGACAGTCTCAACCGACAGCTGACAGTACTTTGTCCAAAACCTCCATTGCACTGTCAAAGTTGACTCAGTTTTGGCGAATTCCAAGAAACAGAACGCTTTCTTATCCCCTGTCCTCACCATGTTTTGTCACGACTGCCCCCTAGCAGTGAAACCTGCAACTACACCATGGTGCCTATTAACCAAACAAACGTGGAGAGATTCTCTACCTATTTATGTGCTCCTTTCTGCTATGTCTCTCATGGTTGTTGCACTGCAGAGTTTGGAAATCCTGAAGGGAGAATTACACTGTACTGTGGCCAAGACCTACATTGGCAGACCTCTACCCATGCTACTGTGAAAAGAGGCACAATCTCAAATAGGGTCTTCTAGAAAAATCAAAATTAGCCCAGCATGCCTATGAAGAGGGTCATAGGGTATGCTGGGAAGAAACTAGCGTTATAGTTCTATTCTCCTTGGTTGACAAGTAATTGATATTAACGTTTTCTAGGGGACCAGAGTGTGGGGGTGCCTGCCAGTTCGGCTTGGCCATACCGACTTTCCGATACGTATCTTTTAACAACAGTATTTTTTTTTATTGTGAGATATAAGAATTTGGCGTCGGGCTGGAGGCCCCATTCTGCCAATTTTTCAATAGTACACTATTCACAGAGACTGGTGCTCTCTCACGGTAGCATCGTGAAGCACAGTCGGTGACTCGCATTACTGCACCATACTACCTCTGGCGGAAACTTCTCAAATCAATACGATTCCAACGGATGTTATCTCGCGTTGCAAGGAGCCAAGTGAAGTCTGAACGGTCTGAACTACGTGGCTGTATAAGTTGGTGATATGGTGTCGTACTGGAGAAGACGATTACATGACATCCGCTAAAATCTGGGAACTTATTTTTGTCGGGAGCTACGTGTACTTTTCGCTTAAGGGGAAATTTCGCGTTTTACCTTGGCAAATGCGTACTTAAGCAAGTCTAGTCGAAGTATTCGAGTAATCATAAAACTAAATAGTTGTACATTTCAATCACAGCTTAACTACCGGAACAAACTTAAGGGGTTTATTACAATATGAATATTTGCGGTGAAAACATCAAATATTACACTGGCGTATGTTTCTGATATACCTCTGAAGAAAAGAGCATTCATTGTTACTTTATTGTGTCATTGAGGTGTTATGTTACACTGCACAGGGCATTCCAAAGTTTGTGCATTTGAGTGGAAATCTCTTGTAAAATAAAAGTTGTTTCCTTCTCCGAGCTTGGCTGGGATCATGGAGGAGTTCCCAAGTCAGCTCCTAGTTAGTTCAATAAGCAACTGTAATAGAACTTCGGACGTATTCGAAGAAAAGAAGGGCGATATGAACTCTCACTGCAACCTTCCTCTAAATGAAGTACAGATTTTAGAAGCCAATAAAAACTTATTACGTGCAGACTGAGTGTTGGAATAACTCGACTTGCTAGTACATATTTTTTGTACATTATCTATCGTCCTGTTTTCATTTAAAACAACGTTTCGGAAACTGGACTCCATTGGGCCCAACTGTAATTCCCTATTTTGGCCGACTTTTAGTCTCCTTTGAAGCAACTCACCATATTTATTCCCCTCCTCCACATCTGGGACCGCTTCATTTAGGCGTAAAGGATGTAACATGTCCTTCCCTTAACACTAATGCTCGTCATGTGATACAAAGAGACAAAATGAAGGGACGAACTCCAAGGGTGCTACATTGGCTTACATGTAGGCTGAAGAAACGTTGGTGGTGGGGAGTGATACTACCTTCTCAGCGCCTTCCTCTGTGAACTATGCATGATCATGCTATTTCTGAATAATGCTCAAAATCCTGAAGTCGCACAAAGAGAAATTACTCCATAGAAGCGAAAAGTTGGAACTGAAGAGATAGTTGTCATGTAAAAGCTAGAAGAGAGCCACGGATGGTAGATTAATAATTAAATCCTTCAGTCAAATAAAGCATTCAGAAGACAAATCGCTAAACGTAGATAATAGAGACACAACCGAACTTTTAACGTGCAGTTGTCACTTCATACAGTCTAACAAACGCATACACGGTCGTGAACTAATCATCATCTTAGAACTTTAAGAGGCTGGTGGTGTAGTCATTCAGTTACATGAAAATTCATCGAACTCAGTAGACTAAGAACAAACTGCACTGCGAAAACTGAATTGCTGTTTTGTTTACGACATTAATATTCGTGAATTTTGTTACAGCTGAGAAGTTAATTGTCGTTTGTGCATGGTGATAAGGCAGATGACAATTGATTTATAAGCATCAGTTCCACAATCCTGTAATATTTATAAAACAAAAATCGCATGTTTGCCAGTTAGCACATGAAACAGGAATACACAAAAATTCCTTAGACAAGTTTAGGATAGGGTGGGCCTACACTTGTTATCTCTTTTTAAAGCGCAAAATACTCGCGTCTGTTTGAAATAGAAAGAACAACAGCATCTCCCCTTGTGGCTGCTACCCAGCCTATCCACTCGAAACCTTTTTAGATTTTTGCCTGTCAAGAGTGGCTGCATGGTTGTTTCGACCCGTTCTTGGCCCCTCACTTCCACCCAACACCCCTCCACTTGCATTCACGTAAAATGGATTCAACCGATCCATGAATCAACTCGCTCCCATGCTTTCACGTTTCATGTCAACAGCGCAGCAGCGCTGTCGGCGAGTCTAGGAAGGTTTTGGTTCTGATCCCGCCATGGTGACGTCACTCGCTGTAGAGTAGTGTGTTGAAGCAGAGGAGAAATGTGTTGTGCGGTCACGAAGGGTTTTATTATGTTGTGTGCGTACGTAATTTTGTCGATGGAAGCTACGTAAAGCGTCCCCCATGAAGAGTTCGGAGCAAGATGGTTAGAGAGACTCGTCACCTTTGGGTTGGGAATTTGCCGGAGAATATCCGCGAGGATCGGATTCGAGAACATTTCAAACGGTATGTTGATAGTGCCACTACTGCCAAGGGAATAAGAATGTTGTTGGTGCTTCGAAGTGTCGTTGTATTAGGTGTTTTTTTTTTTTTGGTTGTTGTGGTGGTGTTGTTGTGAATGTGTTGGTTACTGAGGTGCCAGTGTTTATAAAGTGTTCTGTGCCAAGTTTTCTTTAGGGGCATACGGATTTCCTGACAGGCTGTGCACCGCCTGCCCCCCTCCCCCCCGGCCTGCCTGCATCTGCGGACCGGGACGGCGTGAGTGCATAGCAACCAAACACAGAGTTTTCTTATATATCGTTATTTGCTTGTAAAAGTCATTGTTCCTTTTCTTCATAGTTTTACATACAGGCATGTATGCGGCAGAAGATGCAGCAGTTTCAAACGGAATGTTGCAGCCTGGCAAGAAACACGGGCTCGAGAGGACCATAATAATAATCCTTTGCCATTCTTATTAATGGTTTAAGTTATTTTTTTTTTTGCACTGACATTGCAGGTTGGTAAGCAATTTACATGCATTATCGTGAGTGGCCCATGACGCCATTTTGAGAACGATTATAAACACGGTGATCGTTGGGGTAAAGTAGACATTTTGTAGACTTGTGACATTTGTTCACACGTGTTGTTTATGTAGCATGAAAGGGGGTGGGGCAATTTGAACGCTGTTTATGACCGTAATTTTTATCTAATGTATTGTAAAGGTTGGCACTGCCGTATGGTAGACTGTCTGGTCGGGCACGAAGAGGGGAGGGTTCCTGATTTATTCTAGTCCGTCGAAACAGAAGGTTGAGACATGTATAGTCACTGTCCTACGGTTGTGGGCCCGTGTAGGGTATATTCTGGCCCGTTTTGCGGGATTGTGCCTGTAGTAAATGGAGTGGAGCTGCATCGTTGATGCTTCGATTATAAGGAACAGCTTTGACACGCTAAGCATTTTTTGTTTGTTATTTAACGACATTGCAAGCGAACGCTATATGGCGTCGAATGTTTGGATGATTAATGATTAGGAAAGAACGTGGAAGAAACCGTTCATAGCCTAATTAAGGAACTGTCCAGGCACTTTTCCTGGAGGGAGCAAGAAAAACCACGAAACACTCAGGTAGAATAGTTGGTCCTGGCGGAGTTGTGTGGTCACCTCAAGTAGGAAGCGTTGTTCGGCTTGCTCCTTCAAAGCTGTATAGTGTTTTTGTTCTGGAAAATTATTTAGTTTATCTGTGGTTGTAAATATAACAATTTGAATCAGGGAGTTTACTTCAAACAATTATTGATAAATTATTTCATACATCCCACTTGCAAAAAAAAAAGTTTATTAATTGTGTTCAGGAAAATTGTCGTTTATTTTGAAAACCAAAGGAAACCCATGTATACATATTCCGTGAACGAAGTATTTAGTTATATAACGATAAAGCATACGGTTAGCTTGAGGCAGTTGTTACAGATTATCTGCTTTAGTCCAGAAAAGACACACCCTTCATTTGTATGAATTACATAATTCCCGAATGCTTGTGTGGTGTTTTATTTTTGCATCTGGTTTTCGTAAACTTGTGTTTGTGAAAGTCTGCATTCTTGTGGTTTCATATTCATGTTACTTGCGGCGTTGGATGGAAAACTGTACAGCAAGAAAAGATGCCAGTCCCATATTGATCAACATCGAGGTCTTTGTTAAATATATTATTTCTTGTTTCTCTGATGATATGTATATTTTGTCTCCTGTGCTTCAGTGCATATTTTGCAGGAATTACAGCGTCGTAAATTGGAACATTAAAGCTGTCCATGCGAGTTGTGCGGCTTAAATTAAACCATTTTCATTAGTGTAGCACTGATATGTGTGTTCCATCAGTGACCTCACAACATTATTGACGTGTAATGAGCACATGAACTCGCAGGAACTTCCCAGTGTTCAGGGAACACGAAGATTCGCTATCGTTTTGACAAAAACACAGCTGGATGCTAACCTGAGCTAGGTGACTGTAGATCACCTTTTCACACCCTAAATCTCGAAGATTGATTGTTGCATTTAGGGTACACGTACGTCTCTCCCCGAGTTCGTCCTCTGAGGTGTTTCTGTTGCAATTACAATTTCTCTGTGTGTTACATGGCCAGCCAATGTCATCAGTGATTTAGTTACCCTGCAAAGATTAAATGAAGGTCCTCAGTACCGGATATTCTCTTCCTCATAGTCAGTATCTTTTTCAGTAGTTATTCTCAAACATCCCCAGTCTGTGTTCTTCCCGAGAGTGAGAGGTGACCTTTTAAATCAGCGTTAAGACTAAAAGAGGAGTCATAGTTTTCGTATATTTTAATTGTGATTGTAGGGAAATATTTCGCTTGTTGTGCAGTTTGAAAGGTGACATTTAAACATTGGGTTGTTAAGTGGAGATATTTTATTTGCTGGGGAAGTACACGCGGTAGCGTAGTTGGTTGAGGCACTATGCTACAAGTCGGAAGGTCGCGGGTTCAAGTCCCGATGAGGTCATTGGATTTTTCAGTTGACCTAATCCTTCCAGCCGCACTATGGTCCTAGGATCGACTCAGCCTCCGACAGAAATGAGTACCAGGAATGTTCTTGGGGGTAAAGGGCGGCCGACGCGTAAGGCTGACAACCTTACCGCTATCTATGAGCCGATTGTCTAGAAACTGTGGGAACCTCAACATCTCACAACCCTATGGGCTTCCACGTCTTGTTACATGGATACGTTTACTTTACTTATGTAGTCATAATGCACAAGGCTTAAATAAAAAATACGAGATGGACATTTTTATCAACATTTACGAACTCAGGCCCATAGTCGGCCATTATTTACGCATGGCAGGTGGGGCTAGTTTTTCGAGGGTGGAAATTCATTTTTTTTTTTTTTTTTTGTAAATGGATAAGTCTTACCCACGCGATGCACTAACGTTGCAGGCCCTGTACCAGGTGAGGGAAAAGCACAGTCTCTGCGATATGTAGGTGTAATTACCGTTATGCAGTTATATGTGCTAGTTGCAAGGTAAATATCATAAAACTGCAGTTAGGCCTGTATAGCGCAGGTGAGATTTTGTAATTCCCATCTTGTATAAGAGCATGTTTTATGCCGTGGCGACACTGACGTGTTGAAACATATCTGAGCCTTACCACATTACTCGTGCGACTCGCTATGCTCGCGAGTAATGTGGACGATATGACAAGTCACGAGACAAGCAAATTTAAAATTTTTTGATTTAAAAACTATAGCCGATAAATTAAAATACGACTACAACCTATACACACTACGAGTAAATATACGGATCCTTACGCGCCGAAGCCTGGCGAGCAACTGAAGTAGTCGGGACGAAGATTTACGAGCACAAGCCTGGCGAGCACGAGCATGAGTAATGTGGGCGCCTTTAGAGTTCACAGTAGGTCCGTGCCTGACAGCATTGCGTCCCCCTCTCCTCCGCATGACCGAATTGGACAAAAATATGAACATTTTCTGCGGTCAGTTTATAGGTCTTTAGTATAAAATTTATTTTCAAAATAACCATGTAAATAAGGCAAAGGTAAAGTTGGTTCAGTGCTTATTCAGATATCGAGCTGTGAAAACGTAGGCATGTTCGTGTGCGTAATTAAACATCGCTCCATGAAAACGCGTTGGGAAGTGGAACTGTGGCTCCACGAATGGTTAGCCTTGATTGTGGAAGGAGGCGAATGGTTCATGTCCCGGCTTCTTTGCCTCCGGTACCAGAATGTTTGGAATTGGTGCTGCAAGAATTTGTTTGAAAAAGTAGTGAATTTCATAAATATCATAGGCAGGGCCGCGCCATAGCTCAAGCGGTTAGTCGCTGGCTTCCCACCGCGGCGGCCCGGGTTCGATCCCGGGTCTGGTCAAGTGGGATTTGTTGTGGACAAAGTGGTGCTGGGGCAGGTTTTCTCCGAGTGCTTCGGTTTCCCCTACCAATCTTCATTCCACCAGTTGCTCCACAATCACCCTCACCTATCATCTGGGGCTGGTACAGGCTAGAAGTGGCTGCAGTACAAGGGACTTAGTCCCACCCCACTAACAATAAAAAAAAGGTAACGAAAGGTATCCCTGTAACAGACCTTGAAGGCCCATGGGGTTGCGAGATGTTGAGGTCCCCACATTTTCTAGACAGTCGGCTCATAGATGGCGGCAATGTTGTCAGCCTTACGCGCCGGACGCGCTTTACCCCCAAGAATATTCCTGGTACTCATTTCTGTTAGAGGCTGAGTCGACCGCAGGGCCATAGTGCTGCTTCTTTCAATTGAAAAAATCCAATGACCTCATCGGGACTTAAACCCGCGACCTTCCGACTTGTAGCATAGTGCCTAAACCAACTACGCTACTGAACTGTCTTCATAACGTGAAAATGTCAGAATACAAGCAAATAGAAAAGCTGTACTCATATAAACCGATGAAAAGACGTTTAAATAATAAAATGAATACGTTGAATCCATTTATTTCTTGCATTTCTGTGTGTTGTGGTCCTCGAGGCAGAAGCGATATTTTCACCAAATTATATACGTCGTCGAAATGGTGAATTTATGCAGAATGGAAGAAGAATGTTAAGTTTACTTTCTCGTATACGTCTATCTATCAATGGCTCTACATCCCTTTGTTGAACTTTGGCCGCTTTTTCAGTTTCTTAACCCTATACACAGTCGGTAGGCCTTATTGGGCGGGGGATCAGCCTGTCGCAAGGCCACTACTTACACAGAATGAACGCAGACATCATCAGTGCATTGAGTTGGATTCTAACCCACGATCCTAGCGTCCGAGCGAACGAAGACAGTTCATGCCTTAAATCGCGCGGCTACAGTGACCGGCTCTCATGTACCTACTATGAGAAAATATTGTGATGATGGCAAAATTGATTTAGAGATTTTGAAGAATTCACACGTTTTCAGCACCCTTGAATACGAAAAACATAGTGTGTATGAGAATATGTTGTCACGTAGCCAGAATTGACCCCAGGATTTTGAAGGATTTGTGTTTTCAGTCACGCTGAATGCGAAAAGCTTGTGTTGG